ATCAGTGTAATGAATTAATTTATCTTAGAGCACCTCCTCTTGGGTGAGGGCTGTGTGAGTCTTTTAGCACTTGCATGAGTGATAGATTGTCTTTAGCTACTGATGTTTTTATTGCTTTTAAGAAGAGCTGAGAATACAGGAATACATGTGAAATACTGAACCTTCTTCTGAGTATTCTTTTTTTCTTCTTCTTTAAGTGCCCATTAAGTAGATCTGTCAAGTTACTTGATAAAGCCCACTGTGAATTTTGGAAGATAAATGTCTCTATGGGTCATTAGCAATCCCTCGACTCTTTGGGGTTCTGTGAGGAATAATGAGTCAATCTGGAGAACTAACATATGCTGCAGGCACTCAGTAAACAGCATTTCCCTCCCTTTGGGGTAGCCAGATTTAGCAAAATAAATTTTTAAAAAGTACAGAGTACCAGGTTAACTTTGAATTTCAGGTGAACAATAAGAAATTTTATAGTATAGATATGCCTCTGGTATGGGCACACCTATACTCCTACCCCACTTTCTAGCTCCAAGGTTCTTTTCCCAGAAACACAAATTTGTTCTTTGTTGTTGTTGTTGTTGTTGAGACAGAGTCTCACTACGTCATGTCACCCTTGGTAGAGTGCCGTGGCGTCACAGCGCACAGCAACCTCAAACTCTTGGGCTTAAACAATTCTCTTGCCTCAGCCTCCTTAGTAGCTAGGACTACGGGCACCCGCCACAATACCCAGCTATCTTTTGTTGCAGTTGTCATTGTTGTTTTGTGGACCCAGGCTGGGTTCTAACCCACCACCCTCAGTGTATGTGGCTGGTGCCATAACAACTGTGCTACAGATGCTGAGCCAATGTTTCTAATTTTGGTTAATAGAATTGTGTAGAAATCATTAGAGAAATTTTCCTTGTTTCATACACCATATGACTTTGTTTTGTTTTTGCTGGAGCTGGGTTTGAACCCACCACCTCCAGTGTATGGGGCTGGCACCCTACTCCTTTGAGCCACAGGCACCACCTGACCATATGACTTTTTAGTAGGAACCCAATTTGCTCTATTTTCTCTCTAACACATTTGATTAAGGGAACTGCAAATGAATCATTAGGGAAGTTTTACCTTTTTTTTAATAGACCATAAGCATTTTCTCTAATTTAGGCAGGAACTGAATTTTTTTTAAGTCATTGCAAGTACAAATCATTTCCACCCATAGCCTATAGTTCAGTGCCTAACACATAATGGTGCTCAGTGAATATTTATCAACTGAATGAATGAATGAACTGATGCCTGGACAAACAGTCCTGATCTGTATGTGTTGGTAAATGGGGAGTTTGATCTCAGCTTAGATGACCAATTGCTGTAAGGGGAGACCAACATGTCTACAGAGAAGAAAGACAGGGTAAAGAGAGATATCATAGGCTGAGTGATGGCCCCCCAAAGATGTACACATCTTTTTTTTTTTTTTTTTGAGACAGAGCCTCAAACTGTTGCCCTGGGTAGAGTGCTGTGGCATCATGGCTCACAGCAACCTCCAACTCCTGGGCTCAAGAGAGTCTCCTGCCTCCACCTCTCAAGTAGCTGGGACCACGGGCGCCCACCACAACGCCTGGCTATTTTTTGGTTGCAGCCATCATTGTTGTTTGGCGGGCCCAGGCTGGATTCGAACCTGCCACCTCAGGTGTATGTGGCTGGCGCCTTAGCCACTTGAGCCACAGGCGCCGAGCCAGATGTACACATCTTAATCTCCTATGAATATGCTGCTTTACATAGCAAAAGGGACCTTGTAGATGTGATTAACATAAGGATTTTGAGATGTTGAGGGTATCCTGGATCATCCAGGTGAGCCTACTATAATCACAAGGGTCGTTCTAGGACTAAGAACAGCAGGGTCAGGGTCAGAAAAGGCTGTGTGACAATGGAACAACAGAGAGGTTGGAAGATGCTGTGCTGCTGATCTTGAAGATGGAGGATGGGGCCAAGGAGTGCAGGGGGAGTCTAGAAGCTATAGCAGTCAAGGAAATGGGTTCTCTTCTAGGACCTCCAGAAGGAATGCAGGCCTGCAGACCCATTTTAGAGTTCTGACCTCCAAAACTCCAAGACGACACATCTGTATTGTTTTAAGCCATTAAATGTGTGTTCATGTGTTACATATACAGCAGCAATAGGGGGGTATAAGTAATGAGCAAAGAAAGAGATGTTTTCCTGAGCTAGGCACTTGCCCAGCTGGGAGAAAGATCTACTGGGGACCAGCAACAAGAAGGAGGAGAGGAGAGGGCTGGAAATTGGCAAATGGATGGACAGAAAGGGTAAGAGAACACAGAAATTGGCAGATTCCTGGCAATTGAAGAGAATGGAGATATTAGTTTTCTGGGGCTGCCACAACAAAATACCACAAGCTGCATGGCTGGAACAATAGAACTTTATTTTCTCACAGTTCTAAAGGCTAGAAGTCCAAGGTCAGGGTGTCTTCTGGGTTGGTTTAAATCTGAGGCCTTTCTCCTTAGCTTACAGAAGTCTGCCTTCTTGCTGTTTCCTCACAGTCTTTCCTGTGTGTGCCCCAGTGCCTCTTTGTGTGTCTAAATTTCCTTCTTCTTTTTTTAAAAAGTGAAATTAAATTTATTTATTTTTGAGACAGAGTCTCATGCTGTTGCCCAGGATAGGGTGCCATGCAGTCATAGATCAGAGCAACCTCAAACTCTTGGGCTCAAGTCATCCTCCTGCCTCAGCCTCCCGAGTAGCTGGGAATACAGGTGTCTGCCACAAGGCCCAGCTCAAACTTCCTCTTCTTATAAAGACACTGGACAAATTGGCGTAGAGCCCTTCCTAAAGGCCTCATTTTAATTTATTCACCACTTTAAAAGCTGTGTCTCCAAATACAGTCACATTCTGAGGTAGTAGGTGTTGAGTTAGGGCTTCAGCATATGCATTCTTGGGAGATATAACTCAGCCCTGTAACAATGGAGTTGCTTAATTGAGATACAGTCTACAAAATACCTGGCTAGCAGCCCAGATTGGAGACTAAGGTAGTATGACAGTTCAATGCAATGCAAAGTGATCCAGGATTGGATGCCAGATGGGGACAAAAGGACTTCAGTGGGACAATTGGCAATAGTGTGAATAAGGTCTGTAGGTGAGGTAATAGTATTACAGCTGTGCTTGTTTCCTTTTTTTGATTATTGTACTATAGTTATGCAAGATGTCAATATTTGAGGAAGCTTGAGTGAGGAGTCTATGGGAATTCTTTGTACTATTTTCTAAATCTGGAATTATTTTAAAATTAAAAGTTAGGCGGTGCCCATAGCACCTTGGGTAGGGCTCTACCATGTGCATGGAGGCTGGCAGGTTCCAACCTGGCCTGGGCCTACTAAAGCAATAATGACAACTGCAACAAAAAAAAATTAGCCTGGTGTTGTGATGGGCACCTGTAGCTCCAGCTAATTGGGAGGCTGAGGCAAGAGAATTGCTTGACCCCAAGAATTTGAGGTTGCTGTGAGCTGTGATGCTACAGCACTCTACCAAAAAAGAGTGAGTGACTCTGTCTCAAAAAATAAATTAATTAAATTAAAAGTTTAAAAATAAAGATTAAATAAAATAGAACAAAAATAGAAAAGAACAAATGAGGGGGAGAGAACCAGGTTAGTTAGATGTGACTGTGAAGAAAGAAAAAAATAAACAAGTCAGGAAAAGAAGTAAGGAGAGAACGTGGGCCATGTGGTCAGAGCTTCTACACAAGCTGCCCTGTGGGTCCCCACTGACCTCCTGCTTGAGACAGTGTCTGGGATCTCATCATGTGTTTGGGGAGTCAATGGACATTGAGGCACAAACTGAAGAGGCGATGGCAAGATGCACATTCGTGAACGGCCTCAAGTTCTAACTTGTGACATTCTCTGCAAACAAAGGTACACAACGTCAGTGAGTTGTTGGAAATGTGAGGCCAAGTTCAGTGTAAACCTGTAATCCCAGCACTTTGGGTCAGCTGAGGTGGGAGGATTGCTTGAGGCTAGGAATTCAGGACCAGCCTGGGCAGCATCAAGAGATCCAATCTTTTTTTTTTTTTTTTTTTTTTTTTGAGACAGAGCTTCAAGCTATCCCTCTGGGTAGAGTGCTATGGCATCCCAGCTCACAGCAACCTCCAACTCCTGGGCTCAAGTGAGTCTCCTGCCTCAGCCTCCCAAGTAGCTGGGACCACAGGCGCCCGCCACAACGCCCGGCTATTTTTTTGGTTGCAGCCATCATTGTTGTTTGACAGGCCCGGGCTGGATTAGAACCCGCCACCTTAGGTGTATGCGGCTGGTGCCTTAGCTGCTTGAGCCACAGGCGCCGAGCCGCGAGACCTAGTCTTTAAAAATATATACATATATATTAAAAAGTTAGCTGGGCCTGATGGCACAACTGTAGGCCCAGTTACTTAGGAGGCTGAGGCAGGAAGATCCTTTCAGCCCAGGAATCTGAAGCTTCAATGATGTTTGAACTGCACTCCAGCCTGAGCCACAGAGCAAGACCCTGTCTCTAAAAAACAAACAACAAAGAAAATTCTTTGCATGAATTCTTCTGCATACAGAGTTGCTATTTTGATAACTGAGTTTCACTATCCCTTCATTTTTTTCTCCCTTTATTTGTTGAGATATAATTCACATCCCATAAACGTCACCATTTGAAAGTGCACAATTCAGTAGTTTTTAGGGTATTCTCAAAGCTGTGCAACCATCACACTATCTAATTACAAAATGTTTCCATCATTCCAAAAATGATCCCCATAGCCAGCTAGCTGTCATTCATATCCTACCTCGCTTCCATCTCGGATCTACATTCTGTCTTTGTGGCTTAGCCAATTCTGGTCATTTCGCGTGAGAAATGCCTTAGGCGGACCAAGCACTTTGCGAGTGCTCAGCCCCCACGATGGCCAGTGGCCACGGGATTGGACCGCGCAGGCAGGGTGTGAGCAGGCCGCCCAATGGCTCTTGGGCGTTTGGCGCAGGCAGGTGCAGGTGGCGGCAGCGGCGGAATCTGCGCGGGGCCCAGGCGGCGGCGGGCGCGGTCAGGCGAGCTTCCCGGCTGTGGCTAGCGGGAGCGAGCATGGCGGGCTGGTGGCGGGTGCTGCAGCGCGCGGGCCAGCGCTACCCGTGGCCCACCAACGTCCTCCTCTACACTGGACTCTACTCCGCCGGCGACGCGCTGCAGCAGCGGCTGCGGGACTGCCCCGCGGACTGGCGCCAGACGCGGCACGTGGCCACAGTGGCCTTGACCTTCCACGCCAACTTCAACTACGTGTGGCTGCGCCTACTGGAGCGCGCGCTGCCCGGCCGCGCGCCACGCGCCGTTCTGGCCAAGGTGCTGTGCGACCAGGCGGTCGGCGGGCCCATCGCGCTGTCGGCCTTCTACGTCGGTGAGGGGTCGGGGCGGGGGCCTGGGGCGCGAGCCGGTGAGGGGGCCTAAGACACGGCTTTGAGGGACTGGAGGGAGTGGGGTTTGCAGGTGTCTAGGGCCCGCGTAGGAGCCCAGCATGCCGGGGTCCGGGCTGGGTACAAGCTCGAGACCGGGACGAAGGGGCCAGGGTGTCTGGGGTTGGGGATTGAGGTTTCAGAGGGTGCAAAGTTGGAGGGCTCTGGCAGGAGACTGCGTGAGCTGGGAAGCTCGAAGTCCAACTTTTCAAGGATCCGGGGACACTAAGGTTGGGCAGGACTCAGGAGGCAGTTTCCCCCTTAAAAAAGGCCCACAGGAAAGTCGAGGAGACCTGTACTTGAAGCTGTAGCAACTGCAGTCTCGGTGAGCCCGTTGTGGGGTGGGTGCCCAGCCCTGTACCTTCAAAATTCCACACCTGGGTCTCTGGGGCCAACACACCAACAAAATGTAAGGGGACTGGTGATCCCGGGAGTCAGAGCCGGTGGAACCTGAGGTTGTGCCTGATTCCTCAGAAAATTCCTGCCCTAGTCCTGTTTTGGTAACACGATTTTCCCAAGGAGGTGTCATAGAAAATGTGAGGTGTCCTTGGATCCTTGCCTTAGAAGACTTTATACCTGTGAGGGCCCAGGGAGTCCTCTCTAAAGAAAATCCTCCTTGGGTTGGGGTGGAGCCGAGGCCTGACTGTGGGAACTTTCCCTTCTCCCCCATACTAAGAAAAGTGGAAGGGGTTCTGTGGCCACTGTCATCAAAGTAATTTCTGTAGCTTTCAAGGGAGTGGGCTAAGTAACTGGGGAGGGACATGATTCCCTCAGAAAATCTCCCCCATGAGTCCTGGGCCTGACCTTGGTATTGGGGCTTACAGATACCTCCCAAATGTGAGGTGACTTCTCTTAGAGATTATTGATGCCTTCATAACCAAGTTGAGGTCAGGCAATTTGCCCTTTTAAGGGTGTGTACCCTGCGCCATGGATATTATTATTGTTATTTTTTGAGACAAGGTCTGGCTCTGTAGCCCAGGCTGGAGTGCAACAGTGTCATCATAGCCCAATGCAACCTTAAACTCCTGGGCTCCAGTGATCCTCTTGCTGTGTTGCTCAGGCTGGTCTTGAACTCCTGGCCTTGAGTGATCCTCTCACCCTGGCCTCTTGATAGTGCCTTGTACCCTGGTGAAGGGATTGAAAACCAGGGAGCTGGGACTTCGGGGACTACATTCCTATTTTATCTTCTAACAACCGGAGTGGCAGGTATTCAGTATGTCCTAGTTATAAATGAGGATACTGCATCTCAAGGGGGTTATGTGACTCATCCAAAGACAACACAGTCCAGGCTCTCAATCGTGTTCCTAATCTTGATGCTCTAATGATCAGAGTGTGGTCAGTCTGTCTGAAACCAGAAAGATGCAGTGACAGGGCTTGGAGCGGCCTGTACTGACACAGAGACCCCTGGTACGGATCCCTGACTGGATTACTGCTTTGTTTTGCTTTTCAAGTTTCTGGTCCAGTTTCCCTCACCTCAAGTTACAATGAAGGGGGAAGGAGAGGGTAGGTTGGATGTTTGTGTAAGGCACTGCATGGAAATTGCACGGATCAGATGATCCTGTGTGCCAGGGCCACTTCAAGGAGCCAGAGTAGTAACAGATTAAGAGATCTGACTCAGAAATCAGACACCTGGGTTGGATTTAGTCTGCTATTAACTCTCTAAGCTCTTTTCCTCCTTTGTAACTCTACCTACCTTAGTGAATTATTAGGAAGGACAGATGAAAAGAGGCACATGAAGTGTTTAGCATTTAATGCTAGGTAAGTGGGACACGGTATTACCAATATTTTGTTGAGTTTCTTTTGAGTCTAGTAAGAATCTCCTGCAATTAACTAACAAAGGTCATATTTCCCCTTCCTCCTGATGAAGGGTGGGAGAGGGATTTTTAAAGAACTCTCATTTTTATACCCTTTCTGAAATAGGAGAAATTTGTCCTTGTTCCCTGAATTTCTTTTTAGAGATATTGAAGATCAAATTTTCGAAGTGAGCTGGGTGCTGTGGCTCACACCTGTAGTCTTAGCACTTTGGGAGGCCGAGGTAGGAAGATTGTTTAGGGCAGGAGTTCAAGACTAGCTTGGGCAACACAGAGAGACCTTGTCTGTACAAAATATAGGAAAATTAACCAGCATGGTGGTGCAGGCCTGTATTCCCAACTACTCGGGAGGCTAAGGCAGGCTCTTGAGCTTAGAGTTTGAGGTTTCAGTGAGCTATGATGATGCCACTGCACTCTAGCTGGGGTGATAGAGTGAGATCCTGTCTCAACAAAAGAAAACAAAAACGTTGGGCATGGTGGCTCATCCTTGTAATCCTAGAACTCTGGGAGGCTGAGGCTGGTAGATCACCTGAGCTCAGGAGTTGGAGACCAGCCTAAGCAAAGTGAGACCCCATCTCTACTAAAAATTGAAAAAATAACTGAGTGATGTGGTGGGCACCTATAGTCCCACCTACTTAGGCTGAGGCAAGAGGATTGTTTGAGCCCAGGAGTTTGAGGTTACTGTGAGCTATGATACTATAGCACTCTACCCAGGGTGACTGAGTGAGACTCTGTCTCAAAAAAATAGTTTTCAAAGTGTTTTCAGAAAGGCTGAATTGGTACATTACTTTCAAACTTTTGATCAGAATAATACCAACAGGAAATTCGTAGTAGCCAGAATATTCGATACCTACCAGCCTTTTAAAAAAGAAATAAATTAAAATTTTCAAACTAAACATTTCATAAAAAGTTGGAAGCTAGAAGAAAGTCACCAATAGTCCCACTATAGTAACATATATTGTTTTTGTAAATTCTTAAGGTTTGTTCTGAAAAAATAGTGCTTGCTTCAGCAGCACATATACTAAAATTGGAATATTTTGAAAAAATAATTCTGCTGGCTCGGCATCTATAGCACAGTGGTTATGGCACCAGCCACATACATAGAGGCTGGCTGGTTTGAGCCTGGCCTGGGCAGCTAAACAATAACGACAACTATAACAACAACAACAAAAATAGCCGAGTGTTGTGGCAGGTGCCTGTAGTTCCAGCTACTTGGGAGGTTGAGGTCAGAGAATCGCTTAAGAGTTTGGGGTTGCTGTGAGCTGTGATGCCATGGCACTCTACAGGCGGGGGTTGGTGGTGGAGAGGACATAGTGAAACTCTGTCTCAAAAAAAAGAATTCTGCTATAACTTTTTAAACTTGCTATTCTCACTTCATATTTATCATTCCTTTAAGATCTATCTAATCTCAGAGTGGAGATGGTGTTCTCTTTTCACTGTTTGAGTCAGGAAGGACATATTGAGTGAGCGATAGTGGTTATTTTGCACGTAGGCATGGGAAATATGAACATATATTGTTAATAGTAATCTTCCTGCTGAATCTTTTAAAATTCTTTTGGTGTATGTTTTGGTGAGTAGGTATGAACATTCTCCAGGGGAAAGAAGATATATTTTTGGATCTGAAACAGAAATTCTGGAATACATACAAGGTAAGACAGGCTTTTGAAAATGTAATCTAAATCTTTTTGTATATTTTTAACATTTAATAAAACTGTTCTTAGTGTTTCAGTTTGGTTGACACATGGGTCCCTTATTTGGACACAGAGGTCTTAAATTTGTTTTGCTAGATGAATGAGAGGCGGCCTTAAGACTGTCTGTACTTCCATGAACCAGAAAGAAACGGTATCTCTGAATTCTAGTTAACGTTCACAACGATTTTTGAATTTATCATATTTACTCTTATTAAGGATCACAATCTATTTTGTACATTTTGGAGCCTCTTGGTAAAACAGGAATTGTAGAATATGAGTGCCTTAATGAAAACATTTCCCCCATTGAGAACCAAAGTTTCCAGGTGTGTGTTCTACCGGGTCCTGGTGAAAAGAACATTAACATCCCAAGGGTATTTACAGAAAAGGATAATGTTCCGGAGGGAAATTCGTAGGCTCAGCGCAAGTCAGCTAGTGTTCTGTCTGCTCGGCACAAACATATACAATCCCGTTTAACAAATATTTATTCATTTATTCAAAGAAGATTTATTGGACAATGTCCAGAAGGCAGTATTAGGGTTGCCTTTCATCTCCGGCCTGGAGCATGTTTGATTCTGTTAATCACAATGAGATGAATCTTCAGAATTCCAGAATATGTGCAGACTGGCTGAGGTTTTCACATGTGCTTAATTCCCGGCCAAAAGCAGTACCCGGCCACACCCAGCTGTTACCTGCACTGTTCTAGCATCGTCTGTTCAATGGCTCTGACCCCCCAACCAGCCTACCACTTGATGGTTAGAGGCAAAGCATAGAGAGGCTTGAAGCCATAGTCTTCCCCTGAGTTCTTCTACTCAGAGATGGTAACCACAGGAAAGAGCAGTCAGAACTCTTGTTACTTCTCTGGGGGAAGAAACTGTGGGCCCATCACATCCAAATGTGATTTTCTTCTGTTTTAGATTGGAAAAGGAAAAAGTGTCCCCACTATGTCATGGAGCCTAAGGTGATATTTATCTAACATATAAAAAAAAAAAAAGAGCAACAATCAGAGTTGAAAAAAAGGGGGGGGCTTTACACAGAGATTTGTATGAGTCAGTGTTTCAGAGTCTCCTTCCTTAATGCAGGTGTACAGGCGGCCTGTTTGGGGAGAAACATAGGGATCTTTGCATACCTTTTTGAGAAAACAGTGGTTGCAATGAGTTAGACTCATCTGCATCCACAGAAAAAAAGCGGTACCAGCAATCCAAAGCCCAGCCCCATTTGGGGACTTTTCTGAAGATCTCCCATAATAAAAACTTACTTTTTAGCACTGTACTAATCGTTAGTGGAAGGTAGAAAAAAAAAAAATAACGATTCAGCTTCTGTCCTTAAGGGACTTAGAGTCTAGTGCAACAGTTCTCAACCTGTGGGTCACGACCCACAGGAACTGTATTAAAGGGCCATGGCATTAGGAAGGTTGAGAACCACTGGTCAAGTAGGATAGACAGACAAATAGACAAGTCGTTAACTAGAATGTTACTAGAAATGCATTGGGTCCCAGGGAAGTGTGGAAGTGTGGGGGTGAGGGGCTCAAGGAAGGCTTTCTGGGCGAGTGGATTCTTGAGCGGAGTTATAAAGAACAGCTGCAGTCAGACAAATATTCAAGGAGTTCCAGGGGCAGAAGGAGCTAAGCAGAGTCAACAATGAATGAAACACGTGGTCTTCCCAGGAGGGAGAAACCGTAAACAGTTTGGTGTTCACACAGTATTAATTATGAGTTGGGGAGCAGCTGGGAGTGAGTTTGGATCTTGGAGGCTGTTGAATACTATGCTGGGCATCTTGAACTTCATCTTTAGGTAATGGCAGCAAGGGAAACCCGCTGGAAGTTACCGTAACCAAGTTCACATTAAAAAAAAAAAGGAAGCAGTGGAGGGTAGTGGTTTGAGCAATATTTACAAGGTAGATTAATTGGTAGGTCTGAATGGTCAATTAGAAGACTCAAATTCTGGCTTGAGCAACAGCGTGGATGAAGTTCATCCCTTGATTGAGGATGTAGAGGCAATTTGAGGGGAAGAAACCAAGATGAGTTCACTTTGGGAAATGTTGAATTCCAGATGCCTTTAGGATATTCAAAGGGAGATTTCCACATGCACAGAGGAGAGTTCATGACTGTGTTTCATTATTTTTAGCATTTAAGTGTCCCAGATTTGGACAGTGGGAGTCCCTTCAAGCTGGTTCCTATGTCCTTGTGACATCCCCCATCTTTTTTCTTTTCCTTCTCCTCCTTCTTCTTTTTCTTTTTAAACCATTTTATGACTTTCTGGCATAAAAAGATATTCCAGGCTCATCTTATATCTTGTACCTTGTACTTGCCCCAGGCCTGAATCAGCCAATTCTCTGAGTCCTGATCCCTTTTTGTGAGGAATTGTGTAAGACTAAGATCTGGACACTAGATAATACTGCGTTCTGACAAGAAAAAAAGTGGTCATAAGAAATAAAGCAACCTCAGGTGGCTAAGGTGCCAGCCACATACACCTAAGGTGGCGGGTTCGAATCCAGCCTGGCCTGCCAAACAACAATGATGGCTGCAACCAAAAAATAGCTAGGCATTATGGTGGGCACCTGTGGTCCCAGCTACTTGGGAGGCTGAGGCAGGAGACTCTCTTGAGCCCAAGAGTTGGAGGTTGCTGTGAGCTGTGATGCCATAACACTCTACTCAGGGTGACAGCTTGAGGCTCTGTCTCAAAACAAAAAAAGGCAACATTTGGATGAGTTTAGTTTTCTGATTATTTTTGCTAAAGAATTAAATTCCTAAGTGAATATATACTTTAAATATAAAAATATGTATTACATGTAATACCTATTTTAAATATGAAAATATGTATTATAAAGCTTTTATTGCATTTACAGTACAACCTCTGTAAGTTGACTACCAAGGGACTATAACAAACTGGTCAACATATGGAGGTGGCCAACATAAGAAACTAGGCCCATTGTGCTGAGATGTACATGTGATGCATGTCTGATCTATGAAAATCAGGTCAACTTAAGGAAGTGGTCAACTATGGAAGTTTTACTGTATTTATTTTAGAAATCTTAGAAAGAACAAACTAGTAAAAAGAAATAAGTCTGTAATTATACTTTTAAGAACAATTGTGAACACCTCTAGTTTTATTTTTTAGATATAATTTACACACCAAGATCTCTATCTTTAAAAAAATTCACAATGGTAACATTTTTGTCAGAATGTGTAGGATAAAGCCTGTTAAAATAAGTCTATCTAAAACATTTTGTGGCTGGGCAAGGTGGCTCCTGCCTGTAGTCCTAGCTCTCTGGGAGGCTGAGGTGGGTGGATTGTTTGAGCTCAGGAGTTCCAGACCAGCTTGAGTAAGAACCAGACCCTGTCTCTACTAAAAATAGAAAAAAATAGCCAGGTGTTGTGGCAGGCACCTGTACTCCCAGCTACTTAGGAGGCTAAGGCAAGAGGATCTCTTGAGCTCAAGAGTTTGAGGTTGCTGTGAGCTATGACACTACAGCACTCTACCTAGGGTGACAGAGTGAGACTCTGATTCAAAATAAAAGTACAAATACACATAAAAAATATTTTGTAATACACAAAAATGTTGACTCAACTTTTTCTATAGCATGACATAGTTTACATACATGTAGATTATTAGCAAACCATTCCATTGAAAATGGTTTGTGGGGCCTGGAGGGGAAGCTGATCAAATGATCTTGTCCCCTAAGCAGCCATTCTTTTAATTTTTGTTTTATTGCGATAAGATGCACAAAACATAAAATTTTACATAACATAGAATTCACCTTTTAAAAGTATATGATTCTTTAATTTATTGATGAAGTTGTGCAACCACCCCCACTATCTAATTCCAAAACATTTCCACCATGTCAAAAAGAAACCCTATATGGATTAGTAGTTTCTCCCAATTCCCTCTCTCTCCAGCCCCTGACAACCACGAATTTCCTTTCTGTCTGTGAATTTGCAAATTCTGGACATTTCACATAAATGGAATCATACAATATGTGGCCTTTTGTGTCTGGCTTCTTTTACTTAGCCTAAAGTTTTCAAATTTCATCCATGTTGTAGCATGTTTCAATACCAAATTCCTTTTATTGCCCTAATGTTACGCTATGTCAATCCGCTGCATTTTGTTTATTCATTCATCTGCTGATGGACTCTTGAGTTGTTTCTACCTTTTTGACTATGATGAAGCAAGATGCTGTAAACTTTCAGGTACAGGCTTTTATGTGGATGCTTTCAGTTTTGGGGGGCATATACCTGAGAATGAAATTGCTGGGTCATACAGTAACTATATTTGAATCATTTTAATTTTCAATCAATGGAAACAAAAAGAATGGTTTGGTGTATAGTTTTAAGGTGTCATCAATGATCCTGTAAGTGTAAATATATTCCTGCATCATTCACTTAGGCTAACTGGGAAATTGCAATACATAAATGTATGTTGTTATTTCTAAAGCAGTTGTCTTCTAGAATTGGTGCTGATTCTGGAAAGACTTTTCATTCTGGACCTATGAATATATCTAATACAAATATTTCATACCTAGCAGTTTTTCCCAGAACTCCCCAGCCCTCTCTACTCTAGAGGCCTTAAAGTAGTCTACTTTAATCAGCTTAGCCTGAAATATAATGCCATCCTGGCATCCTATCTGCCTGATATTTAATTTCTTATAGAATGAACTGCACAATTGTTTTGTGTGGTTAAAAGTTATTTTAATAAAGTTTGTTGTTGTTGTTTAAATTCCAGACTGCTCTGATGTACTGGCCTTTTGTACAGGTGAGTTTCAAACTACTCAGAATATTCACTGATGGCTTTGGTTTATGGCTATTCTAACAGACTCTCTCTGTTTCAGCTGACCAACTTCAGCCTTGTTCCTGTTCACTGGAGAACAGCTTACACCGGACTCTGTGGTTTTCTTTGGGCCACCTTCATTTGCTTTTCTCAGCAGAGTGGTGATGGCACATTGAAGTCAGCTTTCACCTTCCTTCATATGAAGGAGGCCAGTGCGGTTGAAAGGCCCCCAGAGAAATGAGAAGTCAAGGACTCTCCTAAAGTGACTAAATTTTGTCCTAAAATGCACTGGATTGCCTGCAGAGAAAATACTTAACGGTTATGTGCTTCATTTTGAAGAATTACAATAGTATTCTATGGACTCACTTGTTTTTTAATTATCAGTGATTATTTTGAATTGTAGTCAAGCTTGTTTTTCCTCTCATTCTGTTTTGAAAATCTTACTTCTGTAATGTTTTCACTTCTCTGTTATTTTGGTTAATATCAATAACAGTGACAAAAATAGCCACTGTTTTAGAGTTATTAAATATTTTAGAGTTAATTATATTTTTATTTGAATATTTTAAATATTCAAAAATCAGGAATATTTGTCAGGAATCCCAATTTTGATTGTTTACATCTCTATTCTAAAATCTCAGGTTATCTCCTAAACATTTTTGAGTCAGTTTATCTTTTATACCAAAAACAGCCCTTATGGTAAATTTCTGTTTACACAGAATTCAATCAAGGAAAATATTGATAACCAGATTCTTCCCCTCAAAATACTATATAATAATTTATTGTTATGCTGATACTAAAATTCTACAAATACATTTTTTACCATCAAAAAAATAGTGTTCTGTTAAGAATGTATTTTATCTAGTTTTACAATTTCTAATTTAAGTACTTTTAAATTATTGTATTTTAGTTTTGAGCATGTTGACCGAAGCACCCCATTTCCTAGACATATGAAATAAAATTTTTGGCTTCTTTTTTTTTGAGGCAGAGTCTCACTATGTTGCCCTTGGTAGAGTGCTGTGCCATCACAGCTCACAGCAACCTCAAACTCTTGGGCTTAGGCAATTCTCTTGCCTCAGTTTCCCAAGTAGCTGGGACTACAGGTGCCCACCACAATGCCTAGCTATTTTTTTGTAGCACCCGTCATTGTTGTTTAACAGGCCCAGTTTGGGTTACAACTCATCAGCCTCGATGTATGTGGCCAGTGCCCTAACCACCGAACTATGGGTGCCAGCCCATCAGGTTGGTTTTGAACCTGTGAGCTCAGGCAGTCCACCCGCCTCAGCCTTCCAGAGTGCTAGGATTACAGGTGTGAAGCCACCACTCCCCACCAATATTTGGCTTCTAAATGAAATATATTGACTTCCAGAGGAAGGAAGAACTCCAATCCATAAAGTACCAAGGAAAATAATAACCTCAAATTTCACACTGATGATCTATTTTTAAAAATCGGTGGTTTAAAATAGATTTTTATATTTAAAGTAGACATGATAAAACGGACCTAATCTTCCAAATTTATTCAGTTTGTCTAACCTCAACACCAGCAAGTTTAAAAATTATGTGAATATCTTATTTCAAGAAGATTCAGCAAATTATATATAAGAATGACACCATAATTCTGTTGCTTTCAATTTTGTATTTCACAGATTTCAAAATGTGAAGCATGGAACTGTTCATTTATTTTGATAATTTATATTCAAGATTAATTTATGAACATATGCCTAAAATATGATAATTTATAGTATAAGTTTATATGTTATAAATATATAATTTCTAAGTATATAATTTATCTGAATGTAATAGGTTATTAATATATTTTACATTATTGGGAATTTCTAGGTGATTCAATTTTAAAATAATTTGTTATTTGCATTGTTTTAAAAGTGGTTAATACAACAGGAAAAAAATAAGTCATAATAAATAAGACAAATTTTGTCATCAAAACAAGTGTATCCAGGGTAATTGTGGTAATTACTGCTTGGCAAAATTTTAAATGAACTTCAACATTACTTAGATGATGGAAGAATAGTGTTTGCATTTTATTTATTTATTT